GAACAGCCCTCAGGGGAAGAGTGGAAAAAACACCCGCCCAAGCATCCCCAGGCAACTTAACCAGAGGGAGAGCGGAAACCTCGCAACACCATCTCTAACATGGCTTGAAAGACCGGCAGTTCTGCGGTACTGTTCAAATACATCATCGGTCGGATGCTCGTGGTAGAACCCAACACCACTCTCAGATGAGGGACCTCACTCCTTTCGACTCCGGTATTTGGAATTCACGTGGTGTAAAATAATTACTACACGTAGGTTGTGCAACCAAAAATGTATTTATTCGTAACAATTAACGTTTAAACTAATTTTGTGCGTAAATGACACGACGCGTGTAGTGTGAATGTCTACGACAAAAAGCTCGAACAATGCTTACTTTACTCTTTCGAATCTAATTATGGAATAACCTACAGGGGCTCTTTCGGGGGTCCTTTTATTAAACCTTGGTAAACATAGGGACGCATCACTACTGATCCATGACGCATCCTTGGTGACACGTTCCACCCAGGGCTCGTACGAGGCATCTTAAGATTAGATAAATAGTATACGTCATAACACCCCTTTTTCCCTGGGAAAGTCCCAGGAAGTGGGGGCTCTGGCCCACATTGCCAAAGCAGTACTCTTGTCTTCGAGAACGAAGAAACCGAAAGATGTTTGAAAAACATCTCTCGACTCTTCGCCTCGAGGGCCAAAAGTTGCCAGGCCTAGGTACGTAAGCCCCCCGTGGCGGACGCCATAGGTCTATCTGCACTTCGAAGTCCAGGGGTACGCTAGACCCAAGGCTCCAGCAGAAAACTGCAGGAACCACCTTGTGGAATGTCTACGGGACACAGTTGCCCCGTACCGCAAAATAGAAAAGTCTAATACAGGGTACATTTGTCCCGTACCGTTAAGTAGGAAAACCTGAATTATCAACCCGAACTTAAGATCATTTCAATTTGGTGAATATAGCGATAATTAACCAATGACTACATTAACGAATGCAAATTTTTGGTGAATGGAGAGACTTTTCATTTCAAAAATACCGTAAGAGAGGAGAAAGTTCAATTCTTTAGGTCATTGTGTAGTATGTATTAAAAAAGAGTAGGAAAAGAGATACAAGGTACTGGGGTGAAAGCCATGACATAGGTTTTTGTGTAGACGACTGCTTCAAGATCTACCACACGAGGCTTTATTTTTAAGTTATTTGGCTCGGGTCGCACAGTGAAGTTTCCGCCACGCGGTCGTGCTCGCCAAGAAGTTAATCAATATACTGAATGTTCGGCTACAGGTGGCAGAAATTTTAGGGGACTAGACGGCAAGATCAAACGAAAATCGAGAGTAACGCATTTCGAATTTGATTTTAATTTTTAGTCATAAATAATTATAAAATTATTCATGGATTAATTGGTCATATTGGAATACACATAGAGCAGATTATAGCAGGGGAGATTTACTGGTCTAAAAAACTAATAGAGCATGTTTCCCTGCTTACTCAGTGAAAAGAGCGGAATAAATTTTGTCACGTTCGGCGACACTTTACAAAGAAAATGGTCGATTAAACATTAAATCTGTCTCACATCTCATATCTGAACCTGTTCTATCAGATTTTTGTGTGAAGATTTTAGAGAGGAAATATTAATGCTTGTTTTCAATGCAAAAACGTCACACACGTAAGCTATAAGTAGGTATCATTAATGTCATACAGAATTATTATAATTGGAAAAGAAATATTTCAATTTTTCGCTAAAATTTTCATATTTAATATTTAAAAGACTGCTTCATTTTTACACAGTTCTGTCGAACTGTTGGAAAACGTAATTTTGAGAAACACGCGTTCAGAAATTTGAGTTAATATTTTAAAAGCTATTTGTTAATTTACTTTTTACCTGTACTTCTAGTCTCGTACAGTGGATTACTCTCTTCCTGGACATGATTGCACTGTTGTAGAATTTTATTTCCACAAACAGTAAGAGTGTCTTTTATCCCTTGTGTTAATACAATTTTTTCATTTACAACATAATTTTCATTCCAATTATCATCACACTTTTCTAAAATTCCGTTGATTCCTAAATATCTAACCTGATGTGCTATTTTGTCGACGCGAGTATGCATAACGAAGTGTGAAGCCTCGTTATTATTTTAAGTATGCGACCTAATATCGCCTACCAAATTTCAAACGGTCCTCAAGTAAAGGGAAACAGACATTTTTATATGAAATTAGTCTCAAACGAATTATTTGCGCTTAATGTACATCATGTTAAAAAAATTTGTAATCAAAATTAAGAAAACGGAAGACAAGCAAATATCAGCTTCTTGAGAAAGTGCCTCTAATATCGCCTACCTAAGAAATTTTGATTAATTTAAACATTTACCTACGTTCCCAGATATTTTACTAATAATTCGCTTCGACAACGAACCTTGTATAATAAATTTTACGTTCTTTCCTAGGTCTTCGTGAAATGAAGGGTCGTATACATAATTTTCTACGCCATCACCTAGGGTATATGTTAATATATTTCTGTATAAACCTTTCCATATAACCACTTTCATCAACTAGAAGTGCAGCATATATGCTAAGGATTCTCGCCAGTAGAAACTTTATATATTTTATGTGGCTATCGCTACATTTTTAACATTTCCTCTTCTGCTTCAAAGTGCTAGATGGTAATATTTATTTAAACTTTTTGTTAATTTTTGTTTAATTTTCATTCGCAAATGTTTGTCAAATATTTAGACACAGGTTGTATTTCGTCCTGATAAACCCACGGAGTTGTAAGCTCCACTTATGCTCTTTCTATTTCTCTCGCAATTCTATTTATTTTGTCAGTATTTTTTTTTAATTAACGATAAGTACTTTTTAAGTAAATAGTCAGTAAAAATGAATATATCGGCCAGTGTAAATAATTGTCAGTATTGAATCGCATTTCGTCAGTATAATTTTGTTTATTTGATCAATAAAATTTAAATTTTTAGTTAGGTTATTTAAAATACTGACAAATTATTATTAATATTTTAATGAAAATACTGACAGTTTTTACAGTGATCGATGTAATACTGACCATTTATATTACGTACTGACGGTTTTATTTTAAATATCGACCACTTATTTAAAATACCGATTAAAACTTCTTTAAAATACTGACCCAGTAAATTGATTTCGCGATGTCGCGTTTTATGTTTAACGTGTTGTAGTGTTCTGCAAATTGAGTCGCGGTTTGCTCCCCTATTCACTAGACCTTTTCCTAATAGACTACCATTTCTTCAAACAAATAAATTATTCCGAAATGAAGACACTGTAAAAGTAGAATTGCAAGAATTTTTTCATTCAAAGACTAACGATTTTTATAAATTTGTAATAATGAAACTAGTTATAATCGTTGAAAAAAGTGTATAGAATCGTGTCAGAATAACTTTATTTTTTCAAAAAACACAATGTATCTAAAGTTTAATTTTTAAAAAGCCGACGTTTCATATGCACCAACCTAATAATTGTGTAATAATTGTACTATATCGTATTTGCGATATTGTTCTCCTTCCCTTGGAAGGTGACTTGCGTTACTTTACAAAGGAAAGCCTGTCTATTAGATAGGATTGACGTGTGGGTAGAACGACACTACTTCTTTTCTAAAACTTAATAAATAAAATATATTTTTGTCACAATGATGTGAGTCGCGAGGTACGTACATAATTGCTGGTCTTGAATGGTAACTGACTGTGTTGATCTGGAGTGATGTAGGGTGTTTCACAGGAGAGTTGGAGAGGGTGTGGTTATGGGTGCGTTTTTCTTGTTACGCGTGATTGGCGGAATATTAGAAATTTTGGTTGACGGAAGGTGGGAGTTGCCGGAAATGGATTTGGGAAGGGAGCGATGCGTTGGCGAGTGTCGTAGGCAATAAAGACATAAAGCCGGTAGATCTGGTGAAACATACTTTTTGAAGGTTTAAAGTGAAAGCCAATGAGACTGTCATGGGGGTGCTGCGACATCGGTTGGCCTTATGGGTTTATTGCTGCTACGTGTTTTAATTGTTAGGTTTGGGGATTTGAGAGGTATCGTGTAGTGAGTAGAAAAAACCGGAAAAGGAAAATAAATCAACGGAATATTTCTTCCCCTGTGTTGCATATTTACACTTTTTCTTTTTAAATATTGCACACCTTTTGTAGAAACCTTGTTAATGCCCGTGGACTTTCGAGCCTTGTAGATGTTTGCACGATGTTGTGCCGTCTAGATACTGGTTCGAAGGACCACCCAAATGATTAGGACTTGTAAAAACTGATCTATGGTATCGCGTGATGTGAGCTGGTTGCTCCTTGGTTCTCCTTGTTCGCGGTGGTTGAACGACTACTCGACGACTCACTCTACGACGTCGCGTCTCGGACGTCCGTGAGAGGGATTTTCGTTGGGACACGCTGATCGGTTAATGGTTAACGATTGCATTTGCCAATCAGCGTGTCTAATAACGTCTTTGCCGCCCTTACAGTGCGCCCTTAGCGCGCTGTCACCTTGGAAGGGTGGGAGACGGTCGCGAGGGGTGGGCGGAAGGTCCCAAAAATCTGGAATTTCCTCCGGGTGACTGATCGGCAAGCGGACCGTTACATATTCGTGGTTTATGGTATGTTCGTAGGCTCTTGAGCGCGAAGGACGCAAATTGCTAAAAATCTAGCAAAGCAATTCTAGTGACCCTCGCAGGATGTAATTAGACCCGTGCAAGCAATAAACGAAAATCCTCAACTCAAAAATAACCGTTCCCGGTCGATCGTGCCATAAACCGTTTCTACAGAAAACCTAACAAACCTCCTGATCCTACTTTCTCCAACCTCACCGACTATCTCTTTCCATTCCCTCCTCTTTTTTTTTCATATTCCTGAAACGTGCCACAGAATAATAACGAATCAACGAGGGAAAACAGATCGTTGGTGTTGGTTTTCGAATTTGATACCGTTAAATAATTCCTAAAAACGAAAATGCTTTATTTCGCAGCAACTCATTTCGATAACCATGACGTATGCAGCTAACCACATACTGTCAGTTGTGGTAGTGCGTAAATGTGCAACATGTACCATTGAGCATATGCAGTATGTTGCAAAGCCGCATGTATGATCCTTCACATGCTCGTGCAGGTGCAAGTAATAAGCCCAGCTGGACATATTCCGCAATCTCCTGAACGATCTCTTATCACGAGCATAAACTGTCCTCCGACATTACAGAATATTCGATTTTCAATCGGTTTTAATAAGAATCACATATGTACGCTCTTTTCTTGATAAAAATTCACCTTCTACAACAGCTAAGTGGTAACCACTGCAAATATCGGGTGGTTCCGAAAGTTCATAGCGAAACGTGAGAAAAATTCAAACTGACGTATCTCTGTTTCTAATCGAAATATAGCGACAAAAAATAAAAGGGTATTTTACTCGTTATCTGAAGACGAACTCAACGCACTCCTCAGATTATTCGTAAGGTGACCGCGAAAGGATACAGAGGGTGGTTCGAAAAGTTCGTAGTGAAATGTAGGAAAAATTCCAACTAACGTGTCTCTGTTTCTAATCGAGATATAGCGACAAAAACCAGAAGGTACTTCTCACTCGGTTATTTGAAGACAAATCCAACGTACCCCTAAAATTACTCCCGGAGCGAACTACATTTTCTGCGGTGGAACGTTACCACGGAAAATTCAACATCCACGCTCCACTGTAAAGAATATAATTCGACTTATATCCACCCCCGTTCACCTTGCGAATTATTTTAGCAGCGCGTTGGATTCACCTTCGACTGTCGAGAAAAATACTTAATTATTAATTATTAAAATATTAATTTGTTTCTCTCTACGTCTTGTACGGTTCTGCAAATATTCAGGATGATATGAAAACTCAATTTCTTCGAGGGAGTGTTATTAGCGCCATTTGAACTATATTTCCACAAAGTTTCAAATTTTTCCGAATTTTCGGATTACCAAACTTCCCTTGCAAGTAATTACAAAAGTAGCGTAATCAAGGGATGGATTGCAAACATAAATACATTAAACTCATTGTCATAACTGTTCCCAAAATTTACATCTCGAAATAAGATCTTGAAAGAGTAACTCATCAGTAAGAGTGATTTTACTTGTTATTAGAAAGAAAAGAACACATACGTGTTCCGTACGGAACAACGGTTCCCAAAAAATCATAAAACGGCTCTGACCGAGCCTCGACGCAGAGGATTAACGGGACCGTTATTATTGTACCAAACGGCAGCGTAACACATTTTTTGCTACCCATTATACCTATCCTCTAATTAGCGACCTAGTCTTTTCCTTCTCCGATGTTCGATTTCCTCTCCTTCTGAGATTTTCCAAAACTCTAGCCACCTCGACCTTCCACCCCCACTTTTACCCTTTCCCTATCGTTCCAATATTGTACCTCCAGATTTTAACTCCGCCTACACCAACTCTCATTTTCTGTACTCCTCCAATTTTTCAAGCAGTCTCCCTCCGAACACCAAACGATACACTCGAAAAACGATCAGCCGAGTCTGTTGTAGAATCACAAGCCGAGACTTGTACCTTACCAATAAATTAAATTAAACTTCCTCGCTAGTTTCTCAGTGTAAGACACTCCATTCGTCGTGATCCAAGTCCCGCATTCGTGGACCGACACGACACCACAATACGCGTGCTTTGTAATAAACGACAAATTAACAACTAGTTGATGGTAATATACCAATACAAACGAGCAACGTATTTGAGTATTTTGAAAGAGGGGCAAGAAGAATGGTTCCTCGTCTGAATAAAATCGCTATTATTTACGTATGACTACCTGGGGAAGAACTTCACATAGAAGTACAACGGAAAGAGGAGAAGAACGTTCTTGGTAGACCAATGTACCGAAACCATAACGATCTGATGGAGACGATAAAAGAAAGAAAGCTCAATTTACATTGTGCACATTAATGCTGAATTGACTAAACGAGCTCTGAAGCAATGGCGTGACAGCAGTAAAGTCTCGCTACGTCGACACTTTTATTTGCGTATGCCGTTGCACGATTCCTCGTTTCACACCCGGATGCGTTTTAACTTTTACTACCTTAGTGGATACTTTATTTGACGAAACGTGAACAATTCGATGACTGCGGTTGCTCTTCTAGAAAAATCCACGTTAGAGTTTAAAAGGAACGCGAACCCGGGGTGAAAGAGTTTTGCACGGGAAAAGAAACTCTCTACTGGAAGTTCTTTAAGTTTCTAACAGACGACACGATATGCAACTTTTTTATCCGCGCAAATGAGAACACGGAAGAGCAATTTTACATACGAATGGAATATAAGAACGAGAGATATATGTATACGCGTGGCATATTGTTTGTAATCATTCTTAACTGGAAAGTCATAATAGAGATTTGCAAATATACAAACTTCCCTCGCTATAAGACACTTTCTTAATTCGGAACGATCCAATTGTACGTTGATATTAATTTTAATTTTGTGTAAAAAATTAAGAAAAAAAGAGTTTAAACGGTAAAACCACCCTTCAGGCCTGAAAATGGTACCTGACTTTGGCATTTTTTTTTTTAAAGAAAATAATTATTTTAATCGAAAACTTTTCCTAAGGATTTTATTATACTAGCTGTTCCGTACCGAACATTTTTTTTGTCTATTTTCGCATCGAGCCTTTCTCCTTTTATTTTTATAGCTTAAGGAAATTGTAAGACGGGCCTGAAGAATCCGCGACCCATAGGATTAGCCGGGGCCGTTATTAAGCGCGTACCCTCGGTAATTTCACCACCAGAACTCAGTTTATTAACCATTGTCCCGATTTTCCAATTACTGAACTAGTGTCTTCCTTCTCTCATGTCCTATCTCCTTTTTTTCGGAATTCCCCAAAACCCCGACACCTCATCCTTCTACCACCACTTCCCACCACCACACCCTACGACCAATACTTAATGTTCTTATTTCTCCCATTTTTCACTTCCAAAATTAAACTCCGCCCTCAGTAGCTGAGATGCGTGACTTCCTCTGAATTTCGAATCAGTATCATTCTGAACGTTAAACAACCAAGTATTGAATCAGTCCGAGTGCTGAACGCATAATCAAGTCGTTTATATTATAACGTTGGAGAAAGGGTATTCCGGGATCGCTTCAGACCTCGTTAGAAAACAGTCTGATTTTTCTCTCGTGATCCAAGTTTGAAACATAACTCAAATCGACGCGAGTACACGACACTAGCCTTAAAGAATATAACAGTATTTTTTCGTTTAATTTCTTTACAAAATGGCGGCGCTACAGACCATATCGTCTACATGCCAATTACTAACGAAGTACGAAGGATTTTTAAAAAATATCGAGTTTCATAGAAATGGTGAACATATGAAAGAAAATCGTATTGTTTCCCTGCAATTTTAGTATAAAAAATTTGACTGCAGAAATTCTCAATTTATTGCAAAAATCCTATGCACTTCTTTAGATTATACGAGAAAGTATTTTGTGAAAATTTTAACTGAATCGGATAAAAATTGCAGAGAAAAATTCGTTTAAAGTTTCAATTACTGATTAACGCCGCGGTGACACGCTTCAGTAAATCGGATCCAATGGTATAAAACCATCGAAACTTTTCATCAGAATTATCAGGATTATATTTTCAGAAGTATAAACTATTAATTTAAGCAAAAAAATATTGCATGTTTTCAAAGCTTGGGGGTGGTCTAACCCCTCAAATGAAAATAAACGTACGTCTAAATTAACGTGGATTAATCTTCCCAATGTAAATAACATAATTAAGTAAAAAGTATCTCGAAAATTATTCGTTCAAATAGCTACATACTACGAAACAAGACACATTTGCACGTAAACATACACAAAATCTCAAATGTTAATTTAATTTTAATATCTCAATTGAATTTTGAAGGAGTAACGTCAGCAAAAAGCTCTACAAATAAAGGATTCAAAATTCATTCTAAATAGCTGAAAAAGTTACGTTGAAGACACAATGCTGGGCTCACGCTAGAGATGAAACAGAACACTGCAGTTTTTGAGAGCCATTTCTTTCACTTCAGAACTTCGTACGCGACTAGAATTTATCAGTTGACTTCCTCACGAAAGTTCTCCAGCTATACTTACCCTCCCAATGGTAATTGACACATTGTAAGCTCATGTGAATAGCTGCAAAGTAGGCTGAGACCCTCGAATTTTAGGGTTGGTTTTCTCAAACAAAAAGGACTCTATGCAACGTCCTGCAAAAGGGACTTTAACAACTTGCTAGGTGTTGCATATCGAGAAAACAGAGGCTTTGGCTACCCGAACAGCCTGGACTTTTATTCGTATGGACAGAACAGAGATAAGAAATGATTCTTATTCGAGTAACAGTTTATTAACATAGCCTTTCTTTGTTACCGTGTCATAAACCGTGGCAAACGAAAAGAAACGAACGCGTTTGTTTCGTAATATTTTAGCCGTAATATACAGGGTGGCGTGATACAACTGTGCGAAGCTATGTCTTTAACCCTTTTGTTTTGGCGTTTCAAAGTTTTCAAATTAATTTTATTAAATTAAAGTGGAAGTGCCCAAAGAGAAAATATGAAGGATTAAATTAAGGTGAAAGTCGCCAACAGCTCGATGCGAGAAAATTTTCGCAATGTCTATAGGAGCCAGGGGCATACTGCGAGAAAATTTTCAAAGCACCTAAATTGAAACGATCAGAGGTAGAAAAAAAAATTTCGAAAGACGGTAAACATTTATTCGGACAACGCTCAACGCCACCGACGACAAAAGTATCGCCCTTGCGTCGTTAAATTGTCGCGAGCCCCAACTTTTTCACGGTCGCGGTTCGTCGTATTCGCGCGGCGAATTTCGAGCACCGTATAGACGGGTTGCAGGTAGCTTTTGCAATGAAGAAACGGAGAATATGTCCTTGGTAGGTTGCTTTATTAAAGCGGTGCGGTATACAGCCTCCGTCCGAAAAAAGAAGAATATAAGACTTGTGTAACTATAAAGACACGGTTGTTTTTGTCCAGAAGCGTGCGCACAGTACCAACACTTACACTTCGATGGGGTTCGCTTGAAGCTCAGTCTCGCATCGAAACAAAAGGCGAGGAAAGCGAGGGTGGTCAGGGGTTCAGGAGAAGATGGAAGTGCCGTCTATGCGCCGCAAAGGATGCGTCTTCCTCTAGGATG